ATTTTGAGAAGCATTTCTTGCTGAAAAAGACTTACTTTAATGGAATTTTGATAACGATTAATACAAAGTGTTAAAAAATAAGTTTCAAAATCACCTTGGGAAAGTCACCCAAAATCAATTTTTCCACTTGAAAACCACCATTTTTGATAATTTTATCTTATTCAGTATTAGAAATAAGAGGTATGTTTGTGTAAAGTTTTTTATTCCAAAAGTGTTTAGTTTTCGAAATATTGCCAATTTAATGTTTTCATATGGCTATTTGCCTTCTTCTCATTTTAAACCATTTCACTCTTAGTTACCATTACGGATCAAATGCCAAAAGAATGCTTACAGCTGTCAGTTACCTTTTGAAAATAATTACTAATCATGCCTGGACGCTTAAATTAACGCGCAAACGACAATTATTTACACTTATTTATTATTTCTGGAGAATGTGATAAAGTTATATCAAGAACCGTTTATGTATTATTAATTATTATTATGATATCAAGAACCAAAACCAGTTTTTCTAAAATCTAGGGGTCCCTTTTTTTGGTTGCCTTTATAAATTGAACATGGACTGTTATTTAGACGTATTCAAATTTCTTTAAATTTTCTGTAATTTGCGTGAAGGCTTCTGTTTTTGTGGATATCGAATGGCAAATGTGTCACATGTTCTTGATATAACTTAACTTTATCTCATTCTCCATAAATAATAAATAAGTTTAAATAATCTTCGTTTGTATAATTTAAGCGTTTGGTCTAATGATTATTAATTATTTTGAGAAGGTAACTGACATCTGTCAGCATTCCTTTGGCATTTCATTGTATTGAAAATAGCTACATTCGTCATGGCAATTAAGAGTGACAGGATTTAAAATAAGAGGCGGCAAAATAGCCATGTGAGCAATCCTCTGAAAAAATTGGCTGATGCGGAATTTTCGACTACCCTTGTATAATGCAGATAACTGTTCATCCTTCAAAATATTAATATTTTACATGTTATGCAGGGTAGTTTTTTTTATCTTGAAGCCCTTAAATACCTCGAAAACGAGCGATCGGAAGAAAACATGTTACAAATAAGAAGTTAATATCTTATACAGGGGAAGAAAAACAAGGCCTACTTCGACCTTGTAGGCTAGGCAGGGGCCAACTAGAGAATTTTAAATGGTAACCACAACATTTTACTGGAGATTCGAGTAGTACGTTAAAAAGTGAAAATAATTTATCTAAAACATTTTCTTCGATTTTGACAGGTGGCGGGTAGTTTTTTTATGTTGAAACGCTGAAATATTTCGGAAATTAGTGATCCTACGAAAAAATGTTTCAAAGAAGAAGTTACTATCTAGGAGAAGTTTATTTACGTTACAAAAAAAGCGCCTACTTCGTTCTTGTTCTGTAATCCATTTCTGAGAGCTATTTTCTTTTGACACATTTTTTTTTTATTTGGGCCCATAGTGCGCCATTTTAATCATTTTTGAAAGTGAGTTAGGTTTGTATACAAAATATTAACGAACAATTTAAGGACTTGTTAAAGTATTTTCTAAAATCAAACGTTTTCAGAGCTCTTGCTATAGAGTTGAAAGTTACTTTTTCTTCTGTCGATCCACGGTCGCACCCACCAATGTTTTTTTCTTGGCAAATATGTGTAAAAATGTACTATAAAAATATAAGTAAGTAATGCAACAACACAATTTTAATGTTGGTCATTTAATTCATTTGCCAAGCAAATTGTCCGAGTGTGAACAATAGAGTTGCGCCTTAAAACTAAGTAGTTGCGGAAATAATTGCGTAGATGAGAACCCTAATGCACATAAATGTTTGCATATAAACGAAAAGCAATACTATACAGAATTATAGTCTTTTCAAAAATGTAACGTTTTGTTGAGTAATTGAGTCTGTAAAAATTGATACTTGGACACTGACATATGTAAGTATTCAATAGATACATTTTGTTTTTTTGTATTCAATGTATCTCGTTTTTTAGATTTAGAGGATTTTTTAAGTTACTGTTTATATCCCAAAATTTGTCATAAGTCGCACGTGTTCTTTACAATTTTCCATAGAACGGATCTACCATGCAAAAAGGAATTAAGCATAAAGGCTTGTTTTCATTGGCATTACTTATTATTTTTTTCAGTAACATTAAAAATGCTAATGCATCGAGAGGCAAGTGACGACGATCTACAAACATTTCAAAGCAAGTAATTTTAACATTCTGGTGGGTGTTTCAGGATTTGAGGCTGTCTTAATTTTCTGGTAACGTTTCGAGAGTACTAGTATCTTCAACCATGTTTAGCTCGAAAGCTTATACTTGTGCATGTATAATAAGTATGTAAAGTTCAGTTGAAGCTTTCGAGCGATACACCTCTTAATATGAAAGTCACTCGTTTTCGGAAAAGGTTAGGAATTAATTGTTTTTCACGACGGTCTGGAAACACTAACCAGTTTCAAGCAATGGCCGCGAAACTGGACAACTCTACTCTTTTAATATCATTCATTTATTTTACGTCTAGAAAATGAAATCAGGTTTAATTATTTGTGTTTTGTTGTGCAATAAAGCGAATCACTATAGTGAACTGGCAAACTTACTTGACCTAAACCTACAATGTACAGGGTGGCAATTTCTGAATCTTGGTATGGGTAACTTCTACATTTTTAAAGATAGAGAATCCGTTAAATGGACAAAATTGGACATAATTCTATTGCCTAATCATTACCGTTTTCAAAACTTAAGTACCCGATTTGGTTCCTGAAATATCCTAAAAGACAAGAAATCAACACTTTGTTAATTATCACATATTTCTTAAACTGCTTAGAAAAAAGTTAAAATTGTCTTGGTAGAACTTTTTGCGTTGAATTCAATAAACTAGCACTCGTTGTCATAGTCAACTTTATTTACAAGATAAAAAATAAACTTGTTTTTTAAATGGTAATCATAGTTGGCTGTGGGTCTTTTAAAATCCTTATTTTTTTCTGAATTTAACGATATAACTGTTTGTATGTTTATCTCTTCTTTTAACCGTAAAAATTCAAAAGAAAAACATTAACAAGCATCTAGCAGTATTGTCACGAAATGGGTATTTCACTCTCTGTAGTAGTTTGAGTTAATAAATGTCATTAGTTAAAAGTATTATTGCTGCTAAGTAAATACGATGCATTTTGTTCGCAAAGAAGACGGGGAAATGTATTCTAACGAAGAAACTAATGACATGCTATTCTGTAATAGAATACCTGTAATAGACTTACATAGTAATATGGCTATGAATCTATATTTGGACCAATACATGGAGAGGAGACAATCAGACAAACAACTTTTTTCACGACTGAAAGCCAAGTTGAAAAAATTCGGAGCATTTAAAAAGCGAACAAAAGGGAAGATTAAATTTAAAGAACAAGATGAAGAAAGAGTTTTAGCTTACACCCAGTTTAATCCAAATCAGATAAACTACCAGTCAATGAAATGTTTCAAAGGGAGAAGCCCGTTTGATTCCAAAACAAAACAAATTCAAGCCTTTCAAGTACCTTATTGCAAATACTATGTATCTCGAGATTCTGGACGAATACTTCAGTTTGTCTAGGTGGTTTAGTAGGGTTTGCTAGGGCTATTAGGTCTAAAGTTTCCCCTCGCCATTTTATTTACTGATAAATCTCGGTTTACTAACAATGGAATATTTAACAGACAATCATGTTTACTGGGCTAATGAAAATCATCATCTAATTGAAAATAGGCGAGATAAACGTGTTTTTTTTTATGTGAATATCTGGTGCGGCATTTTTAGTGATAAAATTATTGGTCCATTCTTTTATAATCACAATTTAAATAGCGAAAGATATTTACACTTTTTACCAAATGAACTTGAAGACATGTTGAATAGTTTTCCGTTAGCATCCTATCGAAAATTGGCACATTTTCAACATGATAGTGCACCTCCACACAACTCACAAGTTGAATGTGAAGATGCCAAAAAATGCTTAGACGTAAAAGTCAATTTGAACATTTAATTTATACGATTCATTATTTCATTTTTGTTTTGTGTATTGTGTGATAATATAGTTCTTGTTTCCATAGCCTACTACACATTTTTTATCTTCTTTTAAAGTTTTACGGCAACAAAAGGGTAAAAACATACAAACAATTATATCAAATAATAATTAACGATAGCAGAAAATAGCTATCGAAACGTCAACGTAATTTTTTAAATTAATTTCTTTACTAATTGGAATTTTCTCTTAGAGCTTGAGCCTAAGTGTGTCGCAGGATACCCTCTAGGTGATAGTTCTTGATTACTTTTT